GCATTCTAATATATCAAAGCAAGGGCGCGTTTAGTTCCGGCCAAAGTTTGGCGCCGCCGGATTTTCAGCTGCAATGTAGTGCACTGTAGCATTTTGTTTATATTTAATAATAATTGTCCAAACATTAACTAATTAGGCTCAAAACGTTCGTCTCGTAAAGTATAATCAAACTGTGCAATTAGTTTTTGATTTCGTCTACATTTAGTACTTCATGCATGTACCGCAAGTTTGATGTGACGAGGAATCTTCTTTTTGTATAGCGCCAAATTCAGGAAACTGGGGGAACTAAACATGGCCCAAGTTACTTTGGCGGTCTCTCAGGGTGTCCACGTCACCCTGAATTCTCCTGGCCATCCGACCCTCTATCGTGTGGCCCAGATTGTTTGTAGCCGCTTTCTGTTGGAATCAGCTTCTGCCTGCTCCTCGTCGCTCTGGGTTCATTTTGCTAGCTTATGCGCCTTGTCATGCGAATCCGGTGGAACAAATATATACTCGGCTCCAGCTTCTCCTTGCAGATTCTTCCCTCCTCTCTCTCCCCGTCGGTCTCTCCCTCTCCGTCCCGACGTGAGCAGGGGCGACGGGCTCGAGCCAGGCGACGGCGGCTGTCCTCCTCCTCCTCCTCCGCCCTCCCTCGCCTGCCTCTCACCTCCGTTTCTCCCTCCCCTTCCTCTCTCTCCCCTTCCCTCCCGATGCTCTGGCCGGTAGCGCGAGATGGCGGTAGGTGTGCAGGCGACGGCGCCCTGCTGGGTGATGCGCCCGCCGCTTGGAGGGCTCTCATGCCCCTCCTCTCCCCCCATCCTCCGTGCGGCCACCTCAACGCCTCCTACCGCTGGGGAGCTTGTGCTCCATTGCTCGATGAAACCCTAGGTACCTGTGCGGCGGCGGCAGCGGCGGTGAAGCCTGTTCGCTGGTTGATTTATAGGCTGATAAATTTGACTGATGCTGGTTTGTTGTGAGAGAAAAAATACTATTTTTTTTATTGATAAAACCCTGACTGAACCAGCGAGCGAACACGCTGTTTCGTCGCTCGCGGTCGGTGGCCTCGAAGAGGCTCCTAGAGACGAGACTTGGGAGCCTGGCTTCCTCCATCGGCAGTTGCGCTTTATCTGTCCGCCAGTGACGTGCTCGGAAATGCAGGAGCACGCACATCTCTTTTGCGTTTTATTTTTCTTGGAGGAAGAAGAGTCAGCGGTCCAAGGTAAACGTTCCGCTCTGCCCCTGACGACTATCATTAGTATACTGTATACGCGTCGCAGCAAGCATGTGCGGCCTGGAGACCTAACGAACAGACATGGCCCCGATTGGGATAAGCTGTATAAAATGAGTAAAAAACGGTGGTCAAAATAAGCTCGTCTGATCTAATTTCTGCTTTTTGGTATAAATGAGAGCGGTGAAAATAAATATAGCTAAAATAAGCTGCTGAAAAACGTATCGTTTGGCTATTAATCTCAGCTTATTTTAACAATAAGCAGCTTATAACCCGTATCAAACAGCCGCGCACGCGCCGGGAGCAGATGCATCCACCAAACTGACCAAACCAACTGCATTTTTTCAGCCTTGCGCATCGGATTCACGCAGGTGCAGTGGGACATCATCCTGCTCGTTCGCAAGGGTTCCGGAATCTGGCTGGGACGCTGCTCTGTTCGTCAGATTCAGTGCGTAGTGAGTAGTGACACCCCCATATGGATGTGGTTCAAGCATCGTGGACGGACTGGCCCAAAGCAATGGGTGAGGGATATATACAGCCGGCCCATATAATGATTCGGGCTCAAGCCCAAACAAAGGAAACTAAAGCAAACGTTACTGTAGATTTTTATAGGCCTGGACAATCGTTCTCCCTCGCTGGAAGGCCAACGAACTGACGGCAGGTCAGCTGGTTGGGTTCCATTCGAACCTGCCACGGCTGGAATTTTTCAAGTTTTAACAGCGCTGTCCTTTCAGTGGTAGGCAACGTTCTCTCGACAATGAGACGCATGTGGTGACTTCGTGAATTAAAAAAACTTATGAGTCAGTGGCGATAATAACCTTCTTTACTTCCTATGAACAATCTTATGTCATAACCTTCTTTGCTTCCCATGAGTGATCTTATGTCTTTAGGGTTATGGGGATGAAGTCGACCATTCTTCCATTATCTAAAACGGACATTTAGCTACCCATAGTTTTGCAAACTGGTTATTTTTTCCCTCCTCAGTTTGTCCCTTGTTTGGTCCGACATGGCGTGGATGTGCCACTGGTTTAACAGATGTTTTCAAAGTTCATAAAAAATGCAAGAAATTCACCAAAATTAGATGGTGCCTAGGAAACTTGGATGCAACATTTGTTGACTTTATTGCCTTAGCATTCCGAAACTTTTATTATATGCTTAAGGAAGATTGTATGCATTAACACGAGAAAACCTCAAAAAATCCAAATAAACCAGTTTATATGCATAATGACCTGACTTTACATGTTATACAAATAATGCACGAGAGAATTTAAAGAACACCTACATGCAACACAATCAACTATGGCAAACAACCTTGTAGTCTTCCTTGTGGCACTACGGGCAGCAAGAACACTGACGGTTGAAGCACCATCGGTGACTTGCTGGGAACTTGAATTAGGCTTCCATAATCTTTTGACATGCCCAACACCTTTTCCCCCTTGTCGATTCATTCTCTCACAGATTGAGGGCTGGATTTTGGGTCACCGTGGTTTCGCCAGTTTATCTCCCCATGTCCATAAATTAGGGTGCTCACCTGATGCTTTGCTCAGCATGCCGCTGCCCTGCTCCCACCTTGGCGGCTCTAGCTCCCTGTCTCCTCAACTGGCTTCCATCCATGCCAGCCTCTTGCCCTGGTGGATCCACCTCCCCTGCGCGACTTTCTTGCCCCGGTGGATCCACCTCCTCCGCATGTGGCTTACTGCCCGACAGATCTGCCTCCGCGCTGTCCTCTTCCCCTAGCTCCTTCCCTGACGTCTGCACGACCATTTGCTCCGGTGGATCACCTCACCATCGTCCTCCTCCTTGGTGCCCCGATCTACTAGGGTCTGCCCAGATTGCTGCCCTGGCGGTGGATCCTGTCCGCTTGGACTAGTGTCCTAGTGGTGTATCCCGTCTGTCTAGATTGCTGCCCCAGTGGATCCCCTCCGACCCTCCTCCCTAATGCAGCTGCTTTTGCCTCGACCACCACTGCATAGCTCGAGCGAGGAAGAGAAAGAAAAGGAATAGAGAATGGCAAATGAGCCCCTTATGTCAGTGTCTATTAGAAATGATTTGAGGGCTCTGATTTGAGAGCTTCTACCGGAGTAGATGTAAAAAAATAGACCCTAAAAATAAGGAGAGCCCTCAAATCAAAAGTAGGACCTTGATTTGAAGGCCCTTGCTAGAGTTGCTTTTACTAGGTTACTTGTATTTTATAAGCTCTATTATTTCTCTCAACAAAAAACATAGCAGAGGCACGATCAGGAAAATTGAAAGTCTATTTACTCATAATTCATGCCCCTTTCAATGATCAATATGACAGGCACTAACTTTCTAGTACATAGTATTCCTCCTTCAAATTTGAAGAGAGGTCGGCGATGTAGCCCAATCTTATGGTATTTTCATTGTGGGACAACGCTCACGCTGGCATCAAAAAACCTTACTCATCCTCGTCCTTGTCGGGTGCGGTCTGTGGTTCTGATTCGATCAGGACCGGCTTTGGCAACGGAAGACAAAGCTTGGGTGTCCACAAACAGAAATTTCCTTGTCTTCACTGGTTTTCTTTCTTTGTTCTTGGTTACTGTTGTATTTGTATTATTCTAAGTTTGATCGAGTAGAAAACATCCTTTTTTTTCTCAAATAAAAGTATGGGCAAGTATCAAGTTAAACAAAAAAGAACCGGTTCAAGCTTTGAGACATGCTCTATTTGAATCTTCATAAATTATGTTTTATTAGTTGTAGCTACCGAGAACGTAGTCCACAAGAATCAAGATTAAAGATGCGAATTGATAATAGATCAGCTGGTTGTGTTCCTTGTGATGAAACCTGCCCACCCGGATTCAAGTCCTCGACTTGACACGGGTGCTCGTATTTTTCTGGATGGATTTATTCTAGGATTTAATGGCACTATGCTTTCAGTGGTAGGCGACGTCTCCGTCGACAGCGAGGCGTCTGTGGTGACTTCGTGAATCTCGTGATCTGCCGGCTTAGTCCTTTGGAGGTGCTCATAGGGGTAGGGTTTGCGTACGTGTTTCATAGAGGTGAGTGTGCGTGCGTGCGTGTCTTGAGCGTCTACGTTGTACTGTGTAATTCTAAAAAAAGATTAAAGACGACACAAACAACTAAAGCAACTAAATTATGCAATAACTAAAGATAAAACCGAACAATGAACTTAAAAGACTTGTTTCTGTTTTCGGACCTGCTGGTTTTCTCACCGTCAGGATCGAACCAGGAACCACATGCTAGCTTATATTAAAACAGCATTGAACTTAAGATTAGCACTTGGGTAGTTGGGTAGGATAAAAATGTTAGAACTGTAGATCGTACTAGAGATAGATCCGAGGGGCTACTTGCTCTTGAATAGTATCACAAAACCTAGAACATCTACTAGAGCATGTAAACGAGAGAAAGAGAGGGAAGGGAGAAGGTGTTGAACCTGACACCACAGAGGGGGAGGGTTCAGTGGATGCCATGGAGTCGATGTCTGCGCTAGGGCAGCGACGGTCGGTGAAGACGGCTTCGGAGATGCGCGGTGGCGACCGGCGGTGAGGACAATGTCGATGGAGCGGGCGGCGCGGCTGGTGGCTTCCCGTCACTGGCTGCGCCCCTCTCTGATCGGATTAGGGTTTAGATGTCGGTGGGGAGCTCGGCTCAGGCCAACCTCGTAGTTCGAGCCCTGATCCCCACCTCTCTTTATATAATGCTGTGCGACAGGGGCCCACCAACCATATTAGGGTTGGGCGCCCTCGATAAGGGCGTCAGATCCAAGGGCCCAGGTGGAGATCAACTAACAAAAAACACACTGAGATTTTATTCTTCATGCTTCATGCTCTGATTTCGTCGGATCGAGAAGATGTCCCATGAAGACGACGACACCAGACACCTCCTCCACCACAAAGAACGCAAATGGATGGTCAGCCACAAAATTCACGGGTAGGCCACAAGAACAAAGCTTTCGGATCACGCAAGCAGTAGAGGCCGCTGCTTCTGTCCCTTCCTCATTCACCTCAACGACCACCTCGTGGAAAACATGTTCTGATACCAGGTGATTCTCGCGCTCCAGCATGTCAGACAAGTCCGCAGTGTCTTCCTCAAAGGCGGCCTCGATCCCCATGGCCTTGAGAACGCCATTGATTCTGTTGGAGAAGGAGAGCTTGAACTTGGGCAACCGCAACTCGCTAACCTTGACGCTTTCACTCGGCATGTGGTCCCATAGGAAGCTAGGGCAGGAAGCCATCTTGTCCATGAGTCTCGGCAGGCCGTCGTGGTCGTCTGGGAGGAAGATGCACATGGAGAACCGGGGCCGCTCGTCCTCTTGCTGCTTAGTATTACGGTTACGACCGCGCCCATATTTGTCTTGCCAGTGGGGTAGACAGTGTGGATGGTAGGTTAGCTTGAGCACCTTGAACCCGTCGTACTCCATCACCGCCTGACTCCCTCGGCCGCGCATGAATGGCGTGCGCACCTGGCTGCCGTCGAGCCGCTGGAAGCGCCTGGTCTCGGTGTCCTCCTTATCGAATGGCATAGACCACCTGCCCTTGAAGTTGTCAGGGATATGTGTAGGATGGACTGCCATGTGGGGCCGGGCTGTCAGACAGAAGCTAAGGCAAGGCCAAGCCAGTACAAAGGGATAGGATGGCAAGAGGAAGGGCATCGAACAAGTAATCAGAACAACACATTCCTCTCCTAGGCTACTGTTCATCTTCCTCCTCAGTCTCTTCTTCTGTACCCTGTTCCCCTTCATTCTCTGCTCTGACCTTCCTTACCCTCGAGGTCCTGTACTCTGATTGCACAGTGTTGTTCTGATTACTTGTTCGATGCCCTTCCTCTTGCCATCCTGGCCCTTTGTAGTGGCTTGGCCTTGCCTTAGCTTCTGTCTAACAACCCGGCCCCACATGGCAGTCCATCCTACACATATCCCTGACAGAAGTAGATGGCGTTGGCGAGCACTAGGGCGGTGTTAGAGCGTAGGGAACCTTCAGGAAGGAATGAGGTGATGAGATCCTTCGTGGCTTTCGAAACCCATCTGTTGATTTTCTCTCTTGCCTCCTCTGGCTGCATGCATTGTATCATTCATTCACATATCGGTTAGCATATATATAGCACGGACGCATGCACTAGGTGAAAAACCTTCAGATCTAGTTCTCATTGTTGTTCTGTATTTATAATTTACAATGATATATATAGGTAAAAATCATGGAAACTGACCTCGTTCACGAAATCAGCGGCGTGCGTCTCGGCCTTGTAGGATTGAACGGCGGCTGTCCTGTAAGCCGGCTTCAGCGCCATTGTCTTCTCGTGCCAGAGCGCGCACGCGAACTTGACAAAGGGGCGCACTGGACTCGGAGTGGTCAGCGAGGGCGCGCTCCACCACGGCACTAACGAACTCGGCGATCTCGTCGCGCGACGACGCGCCGAGCACGGCCCGCACCTCGTCCAGGGTGGTACCACGTGCCCCGGCGGACAGCAGGGCTAGCGCGGCATAGATGGACAGCGGCGAGAAGACCACGTTTTGGCCGCCACTGTTGACGCCGTCGGCGCCCTCAGCAGCGTCAGCGAGGTGCTTCGCCGCCTCCTCGTGTTCCATGCTGCCACCGTCCAGACGTGTAGTAAGGTATTGGATGGAAGCAAATAAGACGGCGCAACGGTTAACCTATATTTGTATATATAGGAGTATATATATGTATCAGATTTGCTCTCCTAATCCGTCACACACTTTTGTGACCGTCCGATTGGTTTAGATCGCCGCCCGCTTCTGCTCATGCAGCCCACGTCCCGTACGTTTTTGTTTCCTTTCGAGATTGACAAGTTAAAGGAAAGAATAAGATCGAGGAACAAATCAATCCAAATCATCCCGGTTCCGTACCACTGCACCCCTCTGACTCCAATGACATCCCTGGCGGCGCCGCGGCGGCGACGCCTCACCTGAGCCGTCTCGGATGGATGCCGAGGTGGCCGGTGGGCGTGTCACCCATGCACGGTCCAGCAGTGCCGCCACCACTTCGGCCGCGCTCATCCCGGTGGCGGCAACCGGGGCGGTGCCGGTCCGAACTTGTTGCTTCGAGAGAGAGAGAGTAGGCGAAGTTGATCTCCATGCCTCGATGTATGCCAGCAGCGTGCCACACGAAGAGAAGATGGCGTCGACGGAAGCGATTTAGCGAGAGTTTCTACTCTCAAATGGTGATCGACAACACCCTTTCAGCCCTGTTGTTTTGTAACGTGTATGCTGTAGCTTAGCTTTAGCAGACACCCAAAGTCAGCATCTTCCCGAACAGAGCCACAGAGCTACGTGAAAGGAAAGGTTCAGAAATCCAAATGGGCTAAAGTCCAAAAGCTAGTGATGGGCTAAGAACTAGTACAATTGAAGAATGGTAAAAAACAGAGTAGAACGTCCAAGGGCCGACAAACGAACCAGGCGTCCTGCGTGCATTGGCCCAACAGAAACGAAACTACGAAAGCATGGGCCAGCCGAAGAAAAAGGTGGCCGTGCAGACTTGCTGTGAAAAATCTGAAGGAAAAAGCGGTGCGGCCTGCAGGAGGCGTCCGGCCGCTGCTCCCGTTCAAGTGCATCCACTGCATCCCGTCCTGTCCCGTCAACACCTAACACAAGCGCACCCATCCTGTCCCCGTAACCAAAGCACGCCCTAACAAAATAGGAGCGCACCCGTCTCACCCTACCTACGGATGCACGTCACGGTCTGCTGGCCTCAGGCGATCGCACGGTAACCCACAGCGGCGCCCCAGCGGTAGCAGGGGGCTGTGCTAGGTGGGTCATATTGCAACATGTACATCACCTGATTTATTTTGAAACATTCAGATGTAACACTTGTAACATACGTCTGAAGATAGATGAAATACTTGAAACATGCATCTGAAATATTTGCAAAAACATATGAAAAACACTTGAAAACCATATGCAATATCTGAATCAAGCACTTGCAACATACGTGTGAAGCATATGCAACATCCAAATAAAACACACTTGCAACATACGTCTAAAAAACAGATGAAACATTGAAAACAAAAGCCTGCAACATACGTGTACAACTATTGTAACATATGCAACATCTCAATCTACTTTTGCAACATCCATATGAAACACTTTCAACATGTCTCTAAAACAACTGAAACACTTAAAACAAACACTTGCAACATGCGCTTTCAAGCGTAACATCTAATTGCTGCTTGGACAAAATGGAGGATCATCGACGACCGAGCTCGACGCCGGCGTGGAGCTCGATGCCTTGGAGTGGCGAGGGGGATGCCAGCGGGTAGGCAACTTTGTGGCCCTAGCGAGCGGCTCTAGCGATAGGGCGGGCGAGTGTGGTCCCCCACGGTGAGGTGCCCCTACGGTGGAGGCGGCAGTGATACCCGCGGCGAGCGCATGTGCTGCCCACAGGGACCATGACGAGGCACCCCCGCGGTGGAGGCTGCAGTGTTACCCACGGCGAGCGCATGTGTTGCCTGCGACGAGCGACCCTGTGTTGGAGAAGGTGAGTAGCAGTGGGCGGGCGGCGTGGTAGAGTCGTACGCAGAGGTCGGTAGCGCAGTGGATAAGGCCTTCTAAACAAGCGGACAGGAGTGGGAAAACGGGTGCATCCGGGCGGACGAGGCGGACGGACGCCCTATCCTAATCATTATCTAAGAAAAAGTCCTTTTTGATCCCCTTGGCTTTCATGAATGTCTAGTTTTCTCCCTCCTATACAAAACCGATTTTGCCCCCTTAACTTCTAAAACAATTTTTAACTTTTAAAACAATTTGTTTTTACACGCATGACGCTTTTGATGGTGTTTTTTCCTGACCGGGGTATATTATTGCACTAAGTCAAAAGTTTAGGAAGATAAAACGAACTAGAAGTAATTTTCAAAATTCATAAAATATTTTTTCAATAAATTATCAAAATACTTTTGTATGAAAAAATTCCATTAAAAATACTAAAATCTAGTTTAATCTCGCTCCGAAAATTATGAAGCTAGTTTATTTTTTTTTCTAAAAACATGCTCTATCTTATGGCGCCTACCTTGTAATTGTTTCAATCTTGGACTCATTTTGGTACTTAGTTTCTAGCAGAAGATCTCGTTATCTAGAAGTTCTATTTTAATTTGGATCACTCACTGCATGGCCACACATTCTGCCACTAATTAAACTAAATGCACCACAAATCTAGGCCTTACCACCACAACATGCAAAGATTTAAAACAATAGAGGCATGACATTTCTACAATTTTCTATGTTGACATCCTATTGATGCACAAAACACTTCAAAACATGTTGAACTCTCTCTCCCACCCTACATACCTCCCAACATAACCCATCAACCATAATCCCTAAAACAAAGTAAACAATTTGCTCATGGAACCTGGTAGGCCACAAATCACCTACAATAAAAAATCTACAATTTAATACAAGCAGTCCTCATGTTGGACAAATTATATTTAGATCCACACATGAAAGCTCTAGTTTGATTTTGGTGAATTGATGAAACCCTAAGTGCTAATCTAGTTTATCTAAGTAATCATGAGATAGGTAGCTCTAATCCAAGTGGTGGAGCAAATGAAGATCATGTTGATGGTTGTGATGGCCATAGTGATCAAGTGCTCGGCTTGGAAAAGAAAAAGGAGAAAAACAAAAAGCTCAAGGCAAAGGTGAAATTTGATAGGAGCTTTTTGCTTTGGTGATCGAGACACTTAGTGAGTGCGATCACATTTAGGATCGATAGTCGTACTATTAAGAGGGGTGAAACTCGTATCGAAATACGGTTACCAAAGTGCTACTAGATGCTCTAACTTATTGCATATGCATTTAGGATCTAGTGGAGTGCTAACACCATTGAAAATATTTGTGAAAATATGCTAACACATGTGCACAAGGTGATACACTTGGTGGTTGGAACATTTGAGCAAGGGTGGCAAAGTTGGTGAAGTGGTGGAGGAGTCTTTCACTGACCGAACGTGGTTTTCGATGTGACTGGACTCGGTGCTGGGTGTGTCCGGTCATTTATTACGAAGCAGACACACTCGGGTTCGGTTGGATCGCGACCGGACTCAGCACAATAAAAGTGACCGGGGACGTGAGGGCCTACGTCCGATTAGGGGGATAACGTACGCTGACGTGTGCTTCTTCGCGAGCTAGAGAGGACCGGATTCAGAGCGGCGTCGATCGCCTGTGAACGGACGCGTCCGATCGCCGTTTTTCTTCTCTGGATGCTTACTGGAAACAACCTGACATCGGGATGCCGTGGGAAGCGGTGCGTCCGGTCATGGCGTGTTGGCGCAGCAAGCGTGTGGGCAAGACCATCACCGGCACGTCCGGTCTTGTTCAGCCACGTCCGATATCAACTTAACCGCATGAACGTTAGAACTCGACCATTGGGATTGGTCGATAGAGGTTTAAATGGGGGACATGTGGACGATGTCTGTTGACCGGACGCTGGGGGCCATGCGTCCGATCACGATGACCAGTGCATCCGGTCACCCCGAGTTGGGCTACTCTGTGAGCCCAACAGCTCTATTTTGATGGAGCCTCTATAAAAGGTGTTTGCCCAGCTCAAGCTCACTCTCTTGGCCATTTGCATTGACATAGCAACCTTGTGAGCTTAGCCAAAGCCCTACCACTCATCTCCATCATAGATTCATCATCTTTGTGACATTGGGAGTGAATCCAAGGGCATTGCTTGAGTGATTGCATCTAGAGGCACTTGGTGTTCATGTTTTGCCGCAGGATTTGCTTATTACTCTTGGTGGTTGTCGGCATCTAGATGGCTTGGTGCAGCGAGGATCATTGAACGGAGGAAGGTGCTTGTCTCCGGCTCTGATTGTAGTGATTGTGAGGGGTTCTTGACCTTTCCCCAGTGGAGAGCCAAAAGGTACTCTAGTGGATTGCTCGTGGCTTGTGTGATCTCATCTTGTGTTGGTTGTGTGGCACCCTATTGAAGGCTTGGCGCGTGTCGATGTTTTACCACCGATAGCCTGCCATGGGGTTACCCGGGGCAGTATGTTCGGGCTTTAGCATATGCGGAACTCGACGGTGAACGCAAGAGACAGTCGATTTATCCTGGTTTAGGCCCTCGACCGTGGTCGAGTAATAGCCCTACATCCAGTCGGTGTTAGCCTTTACGTTGGATTGATTGTGTGTTGTTGTTACAGTCGTAAAAGTTGTCTTCCTCTAGGAACCCCGCCCTCCTTTATATAGTCAGGAGATCAGAGTCCTAGTCGGTTTACAATAAGAGTTCCTAGTAGGATTACAGGATAATACTACTACTAGGATTATATGGGAAGAATCTTAGTTGGACTAGATCTTCTCCCTTCCTGGCGGTGTATCCTGTGGGTCCCGCATCGACAAGCCCCCGAGCACTTCATGGTTGAGTTCTGGAAGCTTCATCTTGTTCCTTCAGGTCTTGCCAAGTAGAAACAAGCGTCATCCGAGTGCTTTCTTGAGCGAAACCGTGTAGCGCTTCGTGAGATCTTTGGTTGGTGTGTACCTTTTTGAAGAAAAAAGTATTCCCATTTGGGTGTAGCCCCCGAGCCTCTTGCTATTTGGAACAAAAAGTTGGAGGGTCTTCCTTGAAATCACTCTATTTCTTCGTC